ATTTCCTATGACGCCTGCCTCTCCCAGCTCTTCTTCTTCCACCTTCTGGCGGGGACGGACTGCTTCCTGCTGACCGCCATGGCCTATGACCGATTCCTGGCCATCTGCCGGCCCCTCACCTACAGCGCCCGCATGAGTCAGACAGTCCAGAGGATGTTGGTGGCTGCATCCTGGACTTGTGCCTTCAGCAATGCACTGACCCACACTATTGCCGTAACTGCCCTCAACTTCTGTGGCCCCAGGGTAATCAATCACTTCTACTGTGACCTCCCGCAGCTCTTCCAGCTCTCCTGCTCCAGCACCCAACTCAATCAGCTGCTGCTCTTTGCAGCGGCAGCCTTCATGGCTGTGGCGCCCTTGGTTCTCATCAGCGTGTCCTATGCCCATGTGGTAGCTGCAGTTCTGCGAATCCGCTCTGCTGAGGGCAGGAAGAAGGCCTTCTCCACATGTGGCTCCCACCTCACTGTAGTGGGCATCTTCTATGGGACCGGTGTCTTCAGCTACATGAGGCTAGGTTCAGTGGAATCTTCAGACAAGGATAAGGGGGTTGGAGTTTTCATGACTGTGATCAACCCCATGCTGAACCCACTTATCTACAGCCTCAGAAATACTGATGTTCAGGGCGCTCTGTGCCAGGTACTGGTGGGGAAGCGATCACTGACCTGAGAGATGACCTCCTTTCCTGCCTTTTCTGGACTGAGGAAAATTTCCCCAGAAGACAGAAACCAACAAACTTTGTTTATAACCATTCTTTCTGTCTCCTGCTGCTGGAGGAGTGGTGTTCTGTGTTTGACCTGCAAGGAAACCCTACATAATTCATTCATTTATTCATTCGACAAATACTTATTAAATTTCTTCTATGATCCAGACAGTCTTCTAGGGCACTGGTGAGCAAAATGGACAAAAGTCTCTTCACTCAAGCAAATCACATGCTATAAAGGTAGGCCAAATAAATAAATAAGCATCATCTTTACTATACCACATGGTGATACACTCTGTAGAGAAAAGCCAGTAAGACAGGAAAACATGGAGTCAGGTTCTGCCAACCGTGCCTCCTGGGCAACTTGCTACCTTGTTTTGGGCTGTGCCCACTTTCTCGGTAGAGCTGAAACCTTGGCTACAGTTCATGCCTGGGCAGCAAAGCCCTACAGGAAAGGGCCGCTTAATCCCAGCCTAAATAACCGAGAATATCACTACCGATTTTCCTTCCAGAGGGATGTGAGACTCCCTCCAGATTAGAGTGTGGAAAGGTATTTTGAATGATGGGCCCAGTGACAAGGATCATTTCTTACTACTGTTCACCTTAGACATCCAATAAAATCAGTTCCATCTCTTTAATACCACACAAGGATCCCATAGGATGATCAGGCCACAGGTGGGGTCCAGAAGAGGAAACAGCTGCTAAATAAAAACTATGTTAATCGGTACATGAAATTGTAATAGCCTAGCTTGTGCGAGCCTGACTGACTCGATCTCAGTTTATCTGCCTTGACCGATCAGGTGCATTACTGGGTCACGCCACCCTCAAAGCTTTGAACAGTCAAGAGTGGTTCACACTATTGACAGCACCTGTAACCAC